TGGAAATAATACTGCAGTTGTCCTCTTGACCATTGTGTTTGAGTAGCAGCAGTAGCAGTAGTACTAGGAGTGATACAGTAAGATCTAACCTCTAGCACATCTTTTCTCTGTGCCAAGCACCCTATATGTGTTTGCATATATTATTTCATTTCATCTTTACAGTAACCCTATGAGGAAGGTGCTATTTTCACCCACATTGTATAAAAGAAGAGATGAAGTAACTTCCCCAAACTTTGGGGGTAGAACTAGATCCTTGGCTGTCTGGACTCCGACTTAAGATCCCTGGAGGTTCAGCACCAGGAGGTGCAGGATTAATGAGATCTGCTTCTGCCCTAGAGAAAAGCAGGAAGGTAGGGTATGGGCATGGATATGACAACACAGTGAAGTTGGGTTCATCTGGACAGGCGCCTCCTCTTTATGGAGGTTAAAGAGCCTCCATATGATGTGTGCCTGTGTCGTCTACCCCTGCTCAGTCCAGTGGCATTCCAGTGGAGAAAGGAGAGATCTCTTGCTTTGAGGAAGAGGATGGTTTCCTGCCATCATCTCTATGTCATGGAGCAACATCAGTGGCCCCCACATACCCAGTATACAATCTTTACAGTTTCTTATGCATACTGTTCCTTAGAAGCAAGAGGGATGCTGAATAGTTCTTAGATCTGCAGTAGCTGCTGTGTGAGGCCAAAAGTTTTGTCAGAATCACATATACTGGTAAACTGTAAGGTGATGTCATCTAATTTATTTATCTTGCATAGGATATCCCCAGATTCTTATTTAACTTGAACTATTTCAGGGTTAATAAAAACAGAGTGAGTGAGAGTGTGTGTGTGTGTGTGTGTGTGTGTGTTTGTGTGTGTGTGTGTGTGTGTGTGTGTGTGTGTGTGTGTGTGTGTGTTGGGTGCACTAGTTTTTATGCATTCCTGTCCTGAGAAAGGACCCAGTGAATGGATGAGAGGGCAGCCCTGTCTCTGTCACTCTGGCCACCTTAGCTCTGGGAGATGGAGCATTGAAGGGCATAATCAATTATATCATGAGGACAGTGACTTTGGGTGTCAGCACTACTGTACAGCCTTCTCTGGTACCACAGTGGCAAGGCTGTCTTATAGGCTTTTCCAGGGCCCTGACAAGTACCTTGAGAGGAGAAACAAGGTTTTCTTTAAGGTCTAGATTATCCTCGCAATTATTGTTTGTCGTGGAAATCCCTGTTCCAATTTAAAATGTAAAGAGAAAGATAAAATAATGATGAATTGTGATAATGTAAAACTCAAACTACAAAGTAAAAAGAAAGATAAACTGTAAAAGAGTTATTCTGTGTTTAGAAAGAAAAAGCAACAAAGGACCCACAGGCCCTTGGTCAGAGGTGTGGTGGAGGTTGAAATCAGGTGCCCACAGGCACTGGAGTGTTCCTGGGCACAGCTAACTCCATGGCCAGTGGGGCAAGACAGGGCAAGGGACAGGAGCTGGGCTCCTTATCCTCAGTGGAGTGACCACTGGAGGTGAGGCTGGAGTCCTCAGCTGTGCTCTCTTGCTCTGTGACACGCCTCTGCAGAAGGGCTTGAGCCCATAACCCCTTCCCAGTGGGCACCAGATAAACAGCACTGGCCACTGCACACCCCTGTTTGCCTTGCTGCCTGCCTGGCTGCCAGTCTGTTACAGACCTAGGCACTGAGTGGAAAACGAGCAAATGGGCAGGGCCAAAGCTTGAAGGTAGATTGAGAAGAATTTCAATGAAAACTCCATTCTTACTTGAAATTTTATTTGGCTGGAAGACCACCTCTTTTATTTCAGGAGTACACATTTTAGTTTTTCCTTACATGATGCCTCCTATTTGATAGTAATGAACAGGAAAGGCCCCATTGTAAGTTCTCACCCTGTAGCATTCTAGCTCACCCTCAGATATATCAAGAAGCTCTCTAAACTGGTTATTCTAGCTAGAAAAAAATATATTAAATAAATAAAAATAAAAAAGGAAGCTCTCTTGTGTTTTCAAATGCTTCTGGCACCATGAGGATAAAAATCAATGTATGCCACATGTAACTAATACATTCTCGCTTTTCCCCTCCTTCCATTCCTCCTCCTTACCTCTCTCCTATCTTCCCTTATTCTCCCTCCTACCTTCACTTCCCCTCTTCCCACCTTTCCTTCATCTCGATCCTCCTTAAACAGAATTCTCCCTCTTTTTCTCTCTTTCTAATGCACGCGCACGCGCACACACACACACACACACACACAAACAGTCTCACTTTCTCTTTCACACAAACACACACACTCTCACATGTGCACGTGTACTCTCTCCCTCTTCTGTGCCAGCTAACTAGACTAATAAGGAAACCAACCCGTTATTCCAGGAGAACCTCCTTCATACCTCTACTCCAGCAGTTCTCAAACTGTGGTCTATGGACCACTAGGGTCAATGAGAAACTTTCAGAAGGTTCACAATGTCAAAATGACTTTTATAATAATATTAAAAGAACAAATCTGGAGGTATCACATTACCTGATTTGAAACTATACTGTAAGGCCATAGTTGCCAAAACAGCATGGTACTGTTATAAAAACAGGCACATAGCCCAGTGAAACAGCATAGAGAACCCAGAAATAAACCCAAATACTTACAGCCAACTGATCTTCAACAAAGGAAACAAAAAACATAAAGTGGGGAAAGGACACCTTTTTCAACAGTGGTGCTGGGATAATTGGCTAGCCACATGTAAGAAAGTGAAAATGGATCCTCATCTGTCTCTTATACAAAAAACCCAAGTAGGATTAAAGACTTAAATCTAAGACCTGAAACTATACAAATTCTGGAAGATAACATTGGAAAAACCCTAGACATTGGCTTGGGGAAGGATTTCATGATCAAGAACCCAAAAGCAAATGCAAAACAGCATGGTTCTGGTACCAAAACAGAGATATAGACCATTGGAACAGAACAGAGGTCTTGGAGGCAACACAACATATCTACAACCATCTGATCTTTGACCAGACAGAAACAAGCAATGGGGAAAGGATCCTGTTTAATAAATGGTGTTGGGAAAACTGGCTAGCCATGTGCAGAAAGCAGAAACTGGACCCCTTCCTGACACCTTACACTAAAATTAACTCCAGATGGATTAAAGACTTAAACATAAGACCTAACACCATAAAAACCCTAGAAGAAAATCTAGGCAAAACCATTCAGGACATAGGTGTAGGCAAGGACTTCATGACCAAAACACCAAAAGCATTGACAACAAAAGCCAAAATAGACAAATGGGACCTAATCAAACTACACAGCTTCTGCACAGCAAAAGATAGTCATTAGAGTGAATCGGAAACCAACAGAATGGGAAAAAATTTTTGCTGTTTACCCATCTGACAAAGGGCTGATATCCAGAATTTACAAAGAACTAAAACAGATTTACAAGAAAAAAACTAACAAGCCCATTCAAAAGTGGGCAAAGGATATGAACAGACACTTTACAAAAGAAGACATACATGAGGCCAACAAACATATGAAAAAATACTCATCATCACTGGTCATCAGAGAAATGCAAATCAAAACTACATTGAGATACCATCTCATGCCAGTTAGAATGGTGATCATTAAAATATCTGGAGACAACAGATGCTGGAGAGGATGTGGAGAAATAGGAACACTTTTATACTGTTGGTGGGAGTGTAAATTAGTTCAACCATTGTGGAAGACAGTGTGGCGATTCCTCAAGGACCTAGAAATAGAACTTCTATTTGACCCAGCAATCCCATTACTGGATATATGTCCAAAGGATTATAAATCGTTCTACTATAAGGACATGTGCCCACAAATGTTCATTGCAGCACTGTTTACAATAGCAAAGACCTGTAACCAACCCAAATGCCCATCGATGATAGACTGGCTAGGGAAAATGTGGCACATATACACCATGGAATATTATGCAGCCATCAAAAACGATGAGTTTGTGTCCTTTGTAGGGACATTGATGAACCTGGAAACCATGATTCTCAGCAAACTGATAGAAGAGCAGTAGATCAAACACCACATGTTCTCACTCATGGGCAGGTGTTGAACAATGAGAACACATGGACACAGGGAGGGGAGCACTACACACTGGGGTCAGTTGGGGGGAAATAGGGGAGGGACAGTGGTGGGTGGGGAGCTGGGGAGAGATAGCAAGGGGAGAGATGCCAGAGGTAGGTGATGGGGAGGAAGGCAGCAAATCACACTGCCACGTGTGTACCTATGCAACAATCTTGCATGTTCTTCACATGTACCCCAAAACCTAAAATGCAATAAAATAAATGGAAAAAAAAAGATAAATTGCTGAGACTTCATTAAACCAAAAAGCTTTTGCATAGCAAAAGAAACAGTCATTAGAGTAAACAGACAACCCACAGAGTGGGAGAAAATCTTCACAATCTGTATGTCTGACAAATGATTAATATCCAGAATCTACAATGAACTCAAATCAACAGGAAGAAAACAAACAATCCCATCAAAAAAATGGGCTAAGGACATGAATAGACAATTCTCAAAAGAAGATATACAAATTAAAACCATAAAGCAATACCACTTTACTTCTGCAAGAATGACCATAATAAAAAAATTAAAAAATGGTAGATGGTGTGGATGCAGTGAACAGAGAACACTGTACATATATATATATATATGTGTGTGTGTATTATTCCATCATATTCCAATAATACATATATATGTATATATGTATTATTGCATTATATAATATATATATATTATACAGTGTGCGTGTGTGTGTGTGTATATATATATATATATATATATATATATGATGGAATACTATACAGCCATAAAAAGGAATGGATTAATAGCATTTGCAGAAACCTGATGAGATTGGAGACTATTATTCTAAGTGAAGTAACTTAGGAATGGAAAAACCAAACACTGTATGTTCTCATTGCATAAGTGGGAGCTAAGCTATGAGGATGTAAAGGCATAAGAATGACACAATGGGATAGCTGCAGCGAGGGACTTGCTGAGGTGCTCAGATTCTTGTAGCTGTGCCAGGATTTAACCACCACCATTTCAAGCAAATAGCAAAGACCAAGACCACCAAGAAGCACCCTCAGCACACAACATCCAATGTGCTTGCTATGTTTGACCAGTCACAGATTCAGGAGTTCAAAGAGGCCTTCAACATGATTGATCAGAACAGAGATAGTTTCATCTACAGGGAAGATTTGCATGATATGCTTGCTTCATTGGGGAAGAATCCAATTGATGAGTTTCTGGATACCATGATGAATGAGGCTCCAGGCCCCATCAATTTCAGCATGTTCCTCATCGTTTTTGGTGAGAAGTTAAGTGGCACAGATCCTGAAGATGTCATCAGAAATGCTTTTGCTTGCTTTGATTAAGAAGCAACTGGCACTATTCAGGAAGATTACCTGAAAGAGCTGCTGACAACCATGGGGGATCAATTTATGGATGAGGAAGTGGATGATCTGTACAGAGAAGCACCTATTGACAAAAAGGGGAATTTCAGTTACATCGAGTTCACACGCATCCTGAAACATGGAGCAAAAGACAAAGATGACTGAAAGAACTTCAAATTCCAGCCAAATGTTCCTTGCTGCCACTTGGGTATTTCTGAGATTTTCTCTTGCATGCCTTTAGCTTTACAGCTTTTGCATTTCCTGTTGTATTTATTTTCAGCCATTTTGGGCACATGTATCTTTATACTCAGACTGGAAACAGGACTTTCTATTAATATCATTTTTAGAATAGAAAATAAGGTAATTTAACCTACCAGCCATCCCCTACCCCAATAATTGTGGTCTATACAGAGTCAATATTTTTTTTCAGAGAAAGTTATTTGCTCAATTTTTTCTGAACCATAATTAAACTTTATGATTAAAAAAAAGAATGACACAATGGACTTTCCAGATTCGGGGGAAAGGGTGGGAAAGGAGTAAGGGATAAAAAATTAGAAATAGGGTGCAGCGTATACTGCCTGGGTAACGGATGCACCAAAATCTCACACCTCATCACTAAAGAACTTACTCATGTAACAAAACACCATCTATTCCCCAATAACCTATGGAAATATAAACACATGGACACAGAGAGGGGAGCACTACACACTGGGGTCAGTTGGGGGAAAATATGGGAGGGACGGTGGGGGGTGGGGAGTTGGGGAGAGATAGCAAGGGGAGAGATGCCAGATGTAGGTGATGGGGAGGAAGGCAGCAAATCACACTGCCACATGTGTACCTATGCAACAATCTTGCATGTTCTTCATATGTACCCCAAAACCTAAAATGCAGTAAAATAAATAAATGGGAAAAAAAAGGAAAAAACAAACAAACAAAGGATAAGATGCTGGAAATGAATCCAAACTCAGAAAGGTGTATTAACAATTTGCCAAGGCGCAGAAAAGAAGCTTGCTTGTAATATAAATAAATTATAATCATGAGAAAAATAAATAAATAAATAAGTATTTGGTAGAATTCTGCAGTGACACTGCCTGGACCTGGAGATTTCTTTTTGGGGAATTTGTTGGAAAAAAAAAAAAAGTCTTTTGCCTTTTTCACTATGTGAATATTTGGGCCATAGTACAAGAAGTAATGGTGGTAACACTGCTGGCACCTTAGCTTGAATCAAGCTTGTGGCATCAAACTGCGCCATTAGTCACTGTATTCCTCACCATTTTGCGCAATGTAAAGGTAAATGCTAATTTCCCTTAGTAATGTCCCTGATGAAACAGTAAAAATGATTCATTTTATTAAATATTGACCCTTGAATACAAGCCATTTTAATATCCTGAGCACTTCTGCTACAGATGATGGTGGTCTTAAAACAAAATCACCATCTGTGCACTTGTTTCAGTTGCAAGCTTAACCAGCCTCCTTTTCCATGAAACACCACTTTTACCAAAAGAATGACTGACAAACTATGTTTACTCAGACTTTGTTATATGACAAAGGTTTTCTTTTTTTCAAAAATGATAAGTCTATTATATAAAACAATTAATACTATTTGTTGCTTTAAAGTCAGCATTCAGATTCTTTAAAACGTGACCTAAATAGCTTAACAGCACTTACATTCCCTATTGATATTGGGGGTAACATTAGTTAATGTGATTTTTGATATTGCATAATGAAATATAGTATGTCAATATTTGAAAAAGCTTCATAACTCAGCAAGCTAATGTTTTCTAAATAACTAATGCATGATGTAGCAAAATTATGCATGAATAAAAGATTCATTTGAAGTATAAGCTGGACCAATGGATTTTAGAGTAACAGAGTACAAAATGTTCTTTGATGTCATGTTAGATTCCACAATGCCACCAGCTTTTAAACAACTATCACTTGTCAAGTTTCAGAATGATATTAAAGAATATCCTACATTTACTTGAAAAACCTACTAAAATACTCCCCATTTTTCCAACTACATTTCTCTATGAGGACAGATTTTCCTCGTACATCATCCAAAACAACATAGTTTTGCTTTGTAGTTGTACTGCATTTCTATGTATCCATACACATCATACCTTAGCATAACATGTTTTCAACTTTACATAATGGAATCATACTGTATATATTTTGTGTTTTTCTTTCTTCTTTTATTCAACACATACTTTGAAATTTATCTGCATCACTGTAGGTACCTGGAGTTCTTTCATATTCATTGCTTTATTTGTATATGAATATGCCACATTTATTTACAAAGTATTTTAAAATTTTAATTTTAGATTCAGGGGTATGTGTGCAGGTGTGTTACAAGGGTATATTTGTGATGTTGGGGTTTGGGCTTCTACTGATCCCGTCACGTACATAGTGAGCATAATACCCAGCAGGTAGTTTTTCAGCCCCTGCCCCCTCCCTCCCTCTCTTCCTTTGGAGTTTCTAGCATCTGTTATTCCTGCCTTTATGTCTGTGTGTATCCAAGATTTAGATCTCACATACAGTATTTGGTTTTCTGTATGTATTGGCCTATGACAATGGCCTCCAGCTCTGCCCATGTTGCTGAAAAGGACATTATTTCATTCTTTTTTGTGGCTGCAGAGTATTCCATGGTATATATGAAACACATTTTCTTTATCCAGTCCATCACTGATGGCCATCTAGGTTGACTCCATGTCTTTGTTACTGTGAATAGTGATACAAGGAATATACATGTCCATGTGTCTTTTGGGCAATACAATTTATTTTCCTTTGAATAGATACTCAGTAATGGGATTGCTGGGTTGAATGATAGTTTTATTTTTAGTTCTTTGAGACATCTCCAAACTGCTTTCTACAGTGGCTCAACTAATTTACTTTCCCCCATGTAGTGTATAAGCATTCCCTTTTCTCTGTAGCGTCACTGTCTGTTATTGATTGGGTTTTTAATAATAGCCATTCTGACTGGCATAAGATGGCGTCTCAATGTGGTTTTGGCATGCATTTTTCTGATGATTAGTGATGTTGAGCAGTTCTTTATGTGTTTTTTGGCCACGTGTATGTCTTTTTGAGAAGTGTCTGTTCATGTCCTTTGCCCATTGTTAAATGAGGTTGTTTCTTGCTTGTTGATTTGTTTATGTTCCTTATAGATTATGAATATGTCATTTGTCAGATGCATAGTTTGAGAATATTTTCTGCCATTTCTCTAGGTGATATATTTACTCTGTCGATAGTTTGTTTTGCTGTGCAGAAGCACTTTAATTGTGTTCCACTCATCAATTTTAGTTTTTGTTGCAATTGCTTTTGAGGGCTTAGTCGTAAGTTCTTTGCCTAGGCTAATGTCCAGAAGGGTATTTTCTAGATTTTATTCTAGGATTTTTATAGTTTGAAGTCTTACATTTAAGATTTTAATCCATCTTGAGTAAATTTTTATATGGTGATAGGTAGGGGTCTAATTTCATTCTTCTGCATATGGCTAACCAGTTTTCCCAGCCCCTTTTGTTGTATAGGGAGTCCTTTCCCCATTGCCTATTTTTGTCGACTTTGTTGAAGATTAAGTGGTTGTAGGTGTGTGGCTTTACTTCTAGAGTCTCTGTTTTGTTCCATTCTTCTATGTGTCCATTTTTGTATTAGTGCTATGCTGTTTTGGTTACTGAGGTCTTGTAGGATAATTTTAGGTCAGATAATGTGATGCCTCCAGCTTTGTTCTTTTTGCTTAGTATTTCTTTGGCTATTTAGGCTCTTTTTGATGTCATATATATTTTGGAATTTTTTTTCTAATTCTGCAAAAAAATGACATTGGTGATTTGATAGCAATAGTGATAAATCTGTTAATTGCTTTGTGCACTATGACCATTTTAACAATTTTTTTTTTAAATTAGAATCTTGCTCTGTTGCCCAGGCTGGAGTGCAGTGGTATGACCTTGGCTCACTGCAACCTCCATCTCCCAGGTTCAAGTGATTTTTGAACCTTAGTCTTCTGAGTAGCTGGGATTACAGGTGCCTGCCACCACACCCAGCTAATTTTGGTATTTTTTGTAGAGACGGGGTTTCACCATATTGATCAGGCTGGTCTCGAACTCCTGACCTCAAATGATCCACCCACCTCAGCCTTCCAAAGTCTTGGGATTACGGGCATCAGCCACCACACCTGGCCGAACATTTTGACAATATTGATTTATCTAATTCATGAGCATGGAATGTATTTCCATTTGTGTCATCTGTGATTTCTTTCAGCAGTGTTTTGTAGTTCTTCTTTAGCGATCTTTCACCTCCTTGGTTAAGTATTCCTTGGTACTGTATTTTTTGTGTGGCCATTGCAAATGGCATTGTGTTCTTGATTTGATTCTCAGCTTGAATGTTATTAGTATATAAAAATGCTACTGATTTTTGCACATTGATTTTATATCCTGAAACTTTACTTACTATGTGTATCAGATCTAGAAGCCTTTTCATGGAGTCTTTAGGGTTTTACTAGGTATGGAATTATGTCATCCACAAAGAGAGATAATTTGATTTCCTTTTTAAAAATTTATACCCCTTTTATTTCTTCTTCTTGCCTGATTGTTCTGGCTAGGACTTCCAGTACTATGTTGAATAGGAGTGGTGAGGGTGGGCATCCTCATGTTCCAGTTTTTAAGGTGAATGCTTCCAGCTTTTGTCCATTCAGTGTGATGTTTGAATATGCCACTTTTAAAATGCACTCTGCTGGATAAGCATTTGGATTCTTTGCAGTTTGGAGCTATTATAACACTGCCATTAGCCTTCTCAGACTTCGACTCTGGTGTGCATGTGTATAAGTTTGTCTAGAGGTATATAATGATGTGATATTGTTGGCTCATGGGGGATATCTGTCTCAAATTCACATACTGAATACCAAACTGTTTTCCAAAGTGGATGTACCAATGTACACTTCCACCAGCAGTGTGTAAGAGATCACTTTACTCCACATTCTCACCAAAACTTGGTTTGAACCAAACTTTAAAATTTGTGCTCACACGGTGGATGTTTGAGTACCTTTTTTTCACTGGTAACTAATAAAGTTCAGCACCTTTCCATCCTTTTTGTAAGAGCCCTACACTGGAAGCAACCCAAACATCTATCAAGGGTATAATGCAAAAATAGTTATATATTGATGCAAAGGAATGCTATGCTATTATAACATTGCTATGAATATTCTTGTGCATGTTTTAATGGCTATATCTATGTATTTCCATTGAGTAATACCTAGAAATTGCTGGTTCATAGTGTATTTGCATGTTTATCTTTGGTAGATATTGCCTAGTGGTTTTCAATGGTAGTTGTCCCAGTTTACAGTCCATCATTATAGTAAACCTTCTCGTCATTTTTATTTTGATCTAATTCCACATATGTAGAAAAGTTGTAAAAATGACACAAAGAACCCCCACATGTTTTACCCAAATTAACTATATATTGCAACCATATACCTCCTAACTCATTTGCTCTCTCTA